GACTACTTCTATAGAAGCATGGCTCAAAATTAAAACTTCGTCAATTTGAGCGGAATATAATAGAGTCATGTTTTTCTTCGACAGATGTTCTGATTTATTATATATATATATATATATTAAATTTCAAATTTTGACAATGGGCTCCTAAAATTAGTGTTAAGTGCTTGTCAAGCGCATTTTTCTCCCTCGCGGCCGTTTTAGTCTCGTTCCATTCAACTACGGCCCGCTTATTTCCGGCTGTTTTACTGTTTCGACCGACAAGTTTTTCAAGTGATATCCTTCTTAGCAGACTCTCCGTAGCTCGCACATACAAAAATATAGAGTGGCAAGTTTACCTTCTCAGTTGTTCTTGTTCTGATAAATATATCAATGAATTAATCAATCAACTTTGATCATAGAGGATACCACATGTGCTCTTACCAACTGAGCCAACCGGGTGGGATATATAACAAAGTTCCTATAAGAGCATCTGTATAATGAGATAAGTTCTTCTTATTTTCTTCTGGCTCTAAACCAACAATTAAATAACCCTCACTCCTTCCTCCACTAAAAGAACTGACGACTTCTATTCTAAACTTTCAATTGTAAAATTTCAGTTTTTTGCTTTATAAAGGGTGGCAGGCGACGGACAACCCTTCATTAAATCTAACAAAAAAGATAAAAGCAGTAACTTCCATTCTAAACTTTTCAATCGGAAAATCTGTTCAGGTTTTGCCTTTGACATCCCTTCATTAAAACGTTAAAATTTAAATGATGTGCACCTATAAATTCAAAGAAGATAAAACAAAAACTTCCATTGAAAACTAAAAACACCTAACTTCAATTATAAACTTTCAATGGTAAAAGTCCAGGTTATGCTTTTAAAGTTGGTTTCCAATTAAATTGTCATTTCGATGGATCGTATTCGGAAATGACGAAAGAACAAAGCCGTTTTAACAGCTACTAGCTGCAATGCATTTCATTATCTTGAAAACTGATTCAAATTATATTCTTTTTCATTATTTTCATGTCAGCTTTCCACCAAACTTGAGAACGAATCATATAACTAGACAGACGAGCAGTGTTTAATTTGACGACGTTCAATTCTAGTGTCCCAGACATATTTTTCAAGTGATAAAACTTAATTAAACCTACAACATAATTGATACTAGACGATGTGACAATACTCTAGATAGAATAAGATAAATAATTTTAAACGTACGTAAGATACTGAGTATTCAAATCTGTCTTAGGTTTCAGTCTGGACTTTAGACTTTTAGACTTTTATTTATTCACACACTTATTTACAATTATTGAAATATATAGGAAAAAGATACAAATATAAAATTAAAATAAGATAAAATAAACCAATTAAATGATAACAATCATGTTTGGGTGTGCCTGGCTGTCGAAATAGTAAAATCGTTCGAGTCGACAGCCACATAAAACAGTAAATTTACAAGTGCTAGTGGACAAGATAGCAGATCTATTTACAAGTTTATCTGAATAATAAATGTTTAACTAGGTAAATATATAAACACACATAAAAAACATATACATACATATGTACATTATATAATATTTCTAGATTATTTTTAATGAAAGAATGAATAATTAGGAAAAAAATCATTAACTTAGAGTTAGAGTTATATCTCAAATCTGTGTTAATTGAAATCAAAATAGATTTTAAATTCCCTAACTGACCCATCAACGACGATTACACGGTTTTGGCCGAAGTGAGAAGTTTATTAGCAGCAAGTAAAGATGGTGCTACTTACAAACATAAAATAAACCTCTCGGGCACTCTAAAGGGTACAATACAGTGTAAAATAGATAAGTAGCTAGGGTTGGGAGGGAGGGAAAAAGACTTATGAACGATAATTAAAGTACTAGTATAGCTGAAGTGAACGTAACTGATATCATGAAAGGAACATTTGGTAATATAACTATGCGAACTTGATCCGAACCGGAAATGCGTCAATACGGCAATTAATCCCTTTGAGTAAACCTAAAGAGCTGAAATTGAAAAGTTTTATCGAATTGACATTTTTAATATCAATTTGAATTTCCTCCCAAATCTTACTTATGACAGATTTGAATGTAAATCTGTCATAATTTGTGCGAGTGGGTGGAGGGACAAGGTTACAAAATGAGGCATATGTTGTATTATATTGGTGTTGATGTTTTGCCCAAGTAATATGGCCCAAGAATATTTTCCTCTTAACATCAGACACAAGGCTATGAATGGTCTGGCGTCCAGCTATTTGATTGATATACTTAACGTGTTTCGATACAGATTCGTGATCACCAAACTGTTACTTTTTCATTCGTCGTGTTGACAATGTTCTGTTTACTGGATCTTTTTGGAATACATAACAGTTATTGCTCTTGGTTTGAAGTTTGTACTAATATATATCTTCTAAAAATCAAAGTGTCTTTTTTGATACTTGCGCGGCAGCTGTCACTCAGCCCGCAGATTTTTCTTTTGTGTGGGATGTTTCGCAGACCAAAATTGTGGGATTACTCCTTGCGCTTGTATGTAAATTACCTTGAAAAGTTAATTTGTCCTTGAAATGATTTCTGCGTCCAAATCTGTCTTCCTGACAGGAGAGAGATGTTTTACTGCAACTGAAAGCAACTCAGCGCCTGGACATTGTTTGGTCATATAATACCTTAGGAATCGAATGAAATACTATATGTTTTCTTAATAACCCAGATAAACCGAGTTTTACAACTTCTTTGGATATATCATATTATATTTATATATTAGCCACTAATGTTTTGGTTTGGGTTGAATGTATGACGTCATACGTTACTCGGCCCATTCTTCTTGAGCGGAATTCTTTTAACAACAAATTAATGGCGGACGAATATATATCGTAAAATATTTTGGCACTATTCTTTCTAATATCAAAAACATATTTCAGTGAGTGATTAATCATGTATCAAAGTTGTTTTCAGCAAAGTTCCATCTCGAATGAAAGAGTTTTAATTTTGGTGCGATTTTCGTCCAAGTGCCACTTTATTACTAATAAATATCTAATTTACAATGCTAAAATTCTTCTTTCACCGCTCAATTCATAGTTAACGAAGCGAAGTGGTTTGGAAACCTATTGTTCTAGGTTTTTTTCCGGCATTTCCATTATTATAGGAAGTTGACTGTGCACAGAAAAGAACAAGTTGTTCCGTTTGATCATAGTATTAGGGGATATAATTATTATCTGTTAATTAATCCTATATAATTAATATTAATTGTTTATTGAAAAAGAAATTACCTCTTTTGCGCTTTCTTATTTATCATCTAGTAACTTCAATGTATCTGCGGGGAAATATTTATCCGTATGGTTTGTGGTCATCGAATGAAAGTTTTCACTTTCGAAATGTTCATACCTGAAAATAATAAGGAAATGAGTATTTTTAGCCATACTCACTTTGGTTCATTGTGCACGGTCAGTATCACGTGATGGCACGGTTCAAACTCCAACGCAAAGCAATAGCTTTGTTCTATGGAGTTTCCAAACCATTCCGTTCATGTATTTTTTAATCAGGTCGGTTTTTAGCGGAGCTCCCGCGCGAGGCAAAGGCCCGCACTAGCGGAGCACCATACTTAAGAAAAAATGGTAAACCATCGAGTTGATTTTTCATGGCTTGGCTGACATCACTTCCGTCCGTACGTCCGTCCGTCCGTCAGTCCGTGTACACAACACAGGAATCCCGCTTGATGCCAAAGTAAAACTACTCACACATGCGGCTCTCAAATGCACAGAAAAAAAAACGCTTTAGGACAAGTTATAGCCCAAAAAGAATAAATAAAGCGATTTTTCTGTTTTGCATACCATTAAATATACTGAATAAATTAGATATATGTATAAATGCATACTACAACGTTTCTGCAATGGAGTGTATATATATATATA